AAAACAAAAATCAGATTCATTAACTTACTAAGGCGTTCCCTAATCACTACAATGAACATGTGTTTCCCACTGGTTTTTCAGGCATCACTAATTAGATGTGACGTTAACATTGCGATTTCAGTAACAATGTCAAAGCAGAAACAACAATCACGGTACTTCTGAAGGTGAAATTTTAACTAAGTACATTAAAAAAGGGCCTGCTCCTCCACCTGCGAGATGCTTCCATGCACTTCTCAGTTTGTGAGAGCGCTGTTGAGTAGAGCCTAATTAAAAGGCATGTTACAACACCGGTGCATGAGACTTGGCAGTATTGGTCCTGTGCACCTTGAAATCCAGCAGCACCAACCTCGGGCTGACCCAAGCCCTGCAGGAGGCTGAGGTAGACCATCTCCACACACCCCTTCCAGCCTAAATTCTTCCGTGTAATATGTTCCTGCTTGGGAATAAATACTGAAGCCAAGTCTGCTGATGGCCACTTCTAGTGGATTACAAAGCACAACTGAGAAACCAGAGAAAGACTTAATTAAATTAGCAAACCAGACATCACGATGGCAAAATAAACGTGGCACAAATCAGCGTAAGGTATCACACGCCGTACTGCACTAAAGTATCCGGATACTAAGCCAGCGGGACAGCAGGGTACGTGGCCTCTCACGGCAAAGGTCTCTGCCGCGGCAAGGACGCCAGCCCGCGCCCGCTCCCCGCTCCCCTGCCATCAAGCACCAAACCACACACAACGCAATGTTCCGTGGGTGGAAGCAAGCATTTGGTGCCAGCATGAGACAGCTCCCACTAACAGCCAACACCTTTTCTTTCAGTATTTATTCTATCGGCTCATGATGAAATGAAAGAGAATTAAATTCGTCACAGCAATGGTGACAAAAGCAGTGGCCACACAGTAAGAAATTAAGCCCGGTAATTAGTCAGCTAAGAAGTTCCAAAGCAATGTAACTGGGGCACACACACGCGTGCGATAGAGAAGGACGGCTACAGCTTTCAAGGATTTGTTCCTTTTAATAAAGAATGCTTAGCATAAATTCATCGGCACGTGTATTAGTCAACTATTTTTAAAAACAAGCATTTTTAAAATAAGAAAAGTATCTGCAGGGGAGCTTTCTGGGGGAAACCAAACCAATGCTCCTACCTTGTGGCATAAACTGAGTAACACAGAGGTATCAAATAGTTCATGTAATCTGTGGGTATTTTATGAGACATCATATACTTGTTCTGATTCCTCTGGTTGTTTTTAACACAGGGGAAAGCTATTAGAGAGGAGATGCTCCGCGAAAAATCTAACACACTTGGCTCACACTCGCAGCCAGGTTCCGAGGTTCTTCATGGCTCGGTTACAGCAGGTAAACCACACGCTCTACCACTCCGCTGACGAACCTTCACTTAATATGCGATGCCTCTGATTTGTCGAGTGATTTGGTGCACTAACCCGGCTGCTCACTTCTGTTCCTATCAGATACAGAATGACTTTGCGTTTAAACCAACGCCACTTGACAGGCTGGATTCAATTTGAAGGTCCCAGGCGCAGCGCCGCAGGCTCGCCCCTCGCCACGAGTCTGCCCGTCAGCTTTACAAAAACCTCTTCAATTCATCAGGTTTATGGGTCCAACCAAAATTTCGGCTTCAAGAACTTGACTGCGATGTTAACTGTGCTGCCCAGTGTCCTACTTCATTTTACGGTCATCTGGAAAATCCAGCACTCCCAAATAACCCGCAATTTTGAAGACTGTACACAATAAACTTAAGGAAAAAGAAGGAAAAAAGCAGGGGGGGGAGGGGAGGTCGCTCAGCCTCAGCTCTGGGGAGTTCTGTGAATGGGTCGACAGCATCAACCTCAGTGCAGCTGCGCCACAGAATCGGTGCCGCTGAGGATGTAGGGTAGGAACAGGCTTCACCAATAACCCTCATTAAACCCCTAGGAAACACAAAAATGGAGGTGTTTCGGTATTACATATTTTCTAAATACAGCAATAATCTCAGGACAACAGCAAACACAGACTGTAGCAACAGAACGGAATAAAAACTGTAAGAGCCATTTCCTCCATTTCTTATGGCCAGTGACCCATTATTCCCAGCAAAACAACTCCCCACAGGAATGACAGAGCTGCCCACCAGGTAGGATACTTGCACGGGTTTGTGAAACTCATTTTCTAACAGAAACGTGCCAGTCCGAAACGGAACGCTCTGGGAACTGCACTGGTATTTCATCCTTCCTTCCTTTAAAGCTCTTCCATATCCAGTGTGCCCAACGTATTCCCGCCCCCCAAACCTAAGCCAAGCCCAGCCAGGGAAGCAGCGTGCCCCTCTGTGTCACACGCCATCAGTAACAGAAGCTTCCCCTGCCCGGAGACCAGCTCTCGCCCCAGTGACACCAGCACCCCGACAGTAGGCGCCTTTCCAGCAAAGGAACCACAGTCACTGCTGCTCATACGCTGGTATAAACACCTAAGCTCCTAAAAAATAAAAAACTACAGCCTAGCTAACATAGTCATGCCAAAAAAAAACTGTTCTAGTGGCAACAAGGTTAATTCTTAATTTAAAGATAATAAGTGAGATCCTAATTTGTTCTCTTGTTGTGTTCTTACATTAACACCCGCACAGACCTGACTTCATACAGAAAGCTACCCCAAAGGCAACAAAACCGCCGTGAAACGTCTGTCAGGAGCTTAGCAAACAACACTTCTGATAATCAAAAAGAACATAATTCACTCCAACTGTGCTGGTTTTGCAGCCTCAGTAAAATTTTTAAATAATGAGAAGTATTTTGCCCATAGAAGCAGCAATTATAATTCCGTATGGTGAACAAACGCGCAATTTCAATCACGGCTGCTCTTCAGCGTGGACTCGCGCGCGAGCAGGTAACCTACACACGGCAGGCAGCGACGCCCGAAAGCAGCAAATCCAACCAGCCCACCGCTCGCAGCGCTCCGCCTCATTTAGTCCCAAACACAAACTCCTGTCCTCGCACACATTAGGCCACAGTCATCGCTGCGCACACCCGGGCAGGCCTTGGGACGGCTGCTGCGGGGAACTCGCCGCGCAGTCAAACCCACGTAGCAGAGTTGGGGGAAAGGTACAAAAACCTCAGAAAGCACAGAAGCTGCCCGTTGTTTTCAGTCTGCATGGCTGTAAGTACAAGGGAGCAAAAGCATTGCCCCGTGCAAGTAACGCCACGACATCGTGTCGCCCCTCGGCCCTGGCCTGCCGCAACCCTGCCGCCCCCATTCCCATGCCTCTGTGTTGCGGCCCTTGACCACGCAGGAGGAGGTTCAGCTAGAGGTACAGGTGTACGAGAAGGACCAACACCCATGCAAGACAAGGCTGACACCACCACTCTCGTTTCCAATGACCAACGCCATCTGCCCAAGAGGAAAGAGTAGCACATTCACTTGTCAACCCTTCGGGTCCTGTCTGTTCTGCTCAGGCAGGGCAAGCGGCAGCAGTAGCCCCCTGTTGGCAAAGGCACGCTCATCAGCACCTCTCGAGCACCTAACGCTGCGTCAGGGTGTGCGGCTGCACGCCCCCACCGCGCGGGGAGGTCCTGCACGGAACCGTAAGAACGTTTGGGAAGAACTAAGAATACGCCCCGGGATAAACATCGCTCTCCTGCGGCTCGCCTTAGTCCTCCGCTGACTTTTGTTTTGTTTGGTTGGGGTTTTTTGTGCGCTGGGGCCAGGAGCCTGAAGACAGATCAACAGCTGCAATGCTAAAGCTGACCAATCCCAGTTCCTCATGCTTCTCATACACATTTTATCTGCGTTTAAGTAACGATCAATAACGCCATTACAGGAAGCGCAGCAGGGAGAGCACGGGGACAGGCAGAGGCGAAGGGCTCCGCTTTCTGCACACGTACAGGTATGCACCTCTTCCCATCCCCCACTACCCCACTAATGCTGCCCAGTCATTTTTCCCGAAACACGTGCCATTTTTGTCATCAATAAACATCCGCAAGATGGGACCCTAGTAACCAGGCCTCGTACTGCCTGTCCAGCCCAGGCTCTGCTCCCTCATCTTTTCATTCACATCATTAGCTATAAATACATATATATATATATATATTTAAAACCTTAGTGGGATGACTACTAATGAGATATATATACATATATATATATATATATATATAAAATGAGTGAGTTTCACTTGTACCAGCTCCTAGCAGCCTTTTCTCCAAACCCACAGACCTTTACAATCACCTCCAAACCAATCTTCATTAATGCCACATCTCTATTTTCACTGGGAGTACCTCGCTCCCCCTCACACTTTCTTTTTTTTTTAACCATAAAGCAAGCATCACCCTGTCAGCCAATTCCCTCGTTCACGTGTTTTAAATTTAATCAGAATAGCTGAGGTGTCAATAACGGTGTTTGTCTTTCCAACAAGAATCAGAAATGAAGCTCACGCTGCATAGCAATAACGTAAGCCGCAGTGCTGCATCCAAACAACTTTTCAAGAAGTCTAAAGCAACCTCCCATTTTAGTTGAAAACATATAAAGGACATATAACATATTAAAAAACATATAAAGCCTTTGAAACTAAATTTAATAAGCCAAACAACTTGATCCAAATACTAAACAATAAATTCTTTAAAAGCCACTAGGAAAGATGCCAGGATCCCCCTCAAAGCATCAGCATCGCCTTTCAAAAAATATACTTTAATTAATCAAAATAAAGATGGGAGGGGAAAAGTGTCACTATTGTGTTAGATATGTTTTGCTACAATAATTAATATTTCCCCCAGCTGCTTAAGACAGCATTACTAGAACAGTCTCAGCAGCAAAAGTGGACAGTAACGCATGGCCTAGGGTGCCCTCTTCCTTTTCCAAGAGGAGTTTCAGGGAAACACTGCTCATGAAGACGTCGGCCAGCTGTCTCTCAGCGAGCCAAATCCATCAGGTAACTAGGCGGTATTAAAAAACCCAAACAGGAACTGAAGTGATGCCCTTGCACTTGTGAGGAGCACCATTCTACCTTAATGAAAACGTACTTACAGAGCCATCTGGAACTGCTCGAGCCATTTCTTCTTCAAGTCTTTAGTTTTGCAGTAGACTTCTAAACCATTTTGGCCTTGGATATGGATGAGGTAGAAGCCGTAAGACCACTGCACAAAAAGATGGGGCAATACGAAGGTCATCAGTTATGAAGAAAGAAGAAAAAAATAATAAAGCAGCGTTCACGTGGTCCTTCATTCCCTGCTACTGGGAACAGCAGGACCATGTTACTGTGTTCACTTAGGAACGACTTACTCAAGCGTTTTAATTACAGAAAAATAAACAAAGGTGAAAACCCTGAATGTTCGCTTCAGCTTACATTTAAAACATAAAACTTTGTAAATAAATTGTGTGTATATTCTGAACACCTGCAAAATGTTTCGAATTGCTGCTAAAAATATACATTTTATATAAATGAGCAACAAATATTTACCTTCTTGTTTTCTTTATCAGTAGTGGGGTTATTTGTAATTTTGTATTTCTGAAGATCTATTATTTCCTTCATTTCATAATTATCCCCTCTCCGTTTGCAAACAATTACAGCGAGATCAAACAAGAAGATATGCCTAGGAAAACACAAGATAAGGATTGTTAAAAACACTCGAGAAAGCCAACACGCAAAGCCGTATTTCACACACCCTTGCCCATGGCACCGAGTGTTTTTGAAAGTGGACGACTCAAGTACTGAAGAAGAAAACAAAACCCACTCAAAACACTTTTGCTAGAAAGCTACTGCTTGCACGGGACTCAGGTGAGCTTTCATGGTAACGCCATAGCTCCCCGTGAACGACCCCGCAGATTCCCTCGGCAAAGGCTGGACGCACTCTGCGAACGCACAGCGCAAGGGGAGTACGCTCAGGATCACCGAGCTGACCTCAAATCTGAAAGGGAATGATTTTACAGGGGTTTTCCCAGCGAACACCAGAAGTCGCGCCATCACCTGTCTTGCCTCGCACGCTTGTCTATCGTAGTTATCCTTATTTCCCCGTCACCCTGGGGTCTTCCGTACTGTAAGAGGGAGTGATTCTGAAACAGAAGTCGTATGTAAGATTCAGTACAGCAAAGGCATCAAGGTGATGACACATTCCAGCGTTAGCCACTCACTCCTTTTACCCCAAAAAAGGACTCTTCAGGCCTGAAAGCAGCATCTTCTCCTCACTACCATCTAAACTAAATACAATAAAGAATCGGGCCGTTCCATTTTGGTCTTCAATGGGAATTTTTTTCCCATTACAAAAACACCTGAGTCCCTGTACAAATGCAAACCTTTATGCAAATATATTAAACTCCAGACAGACCCCAAAATAGCAGATTTCTGTACTTAAATATTTGTGTCATTCTAGACAAAGCAAAGCACACTTAAACTTAAATATCACCAAGAATATGATAATCTCCTATGAAATAGGGGAAAAAATACTTCTAGAAATATATTTGACCAGAAGTGACTTAAAAACTGTGTAAATGAAAAATATCACATACCAAATTCTCTATTGATAGTTGAAACTGTCTGATTTCACGGAGTGTTTCATTATCTCTCTTCACTTCATTTACATATTGAGCCAAGTCCTGGAGCATCAACAGAAAAAGGGGAAAAAAAAAAACAACCTTTTCCATAACAGACCACTTTAATACATTAGTTTGGCAAATTCACTTCTAATTTTGTCTGTGACTGATCAGCATATTTAGTCATTTATTTTAAAAAAAAATAATCTTTAATACTGAAGAATTAGCAACACGTATGCTAGAAGAAAAAAAGCCTCTCCATGTCTTCAACTGTATTTGCACCTTTCTTCATCAGATCTACTGAAACACAAGCAAGAGAGAAACGTAATAAATTGTAAAAAAGGGCTGATTTTTTCTGAATTTTGTTAATGTCTTATTTTCAAGATTAAAGATGGAAGCAATGATTTACGCAGCACACTTCTGGTCCGAAAAAGCAGTTGACATCCAGTATCTGAGAGCAAGACGGACGGTAAACAGACCGTGTAGTAGAAAACGCACGTGAGGCAGCTCAAAAGCAGCACAAAGGCGTCAGCGGAACGCAAGCCTGGGTGCTTATTAGGAGAGCAGCAGCGACTGCCCCGGCGGCAGGATCCTGCTCCCGCTGCTGCTCAGCAGAGAGAAGCCCATTTTAAATGGGGCTTTTAATGGGATGTACTACCTGAAGTCGCAGGTTGAGATCATTAGCATCCCCTTTACCAGAACAGGTCGTGTACACATTTCATGAAAACCGTTAAAATGCTCTGAACACGTGTGAGGAACGGGGACAATTTGCTGGGGCTTCTCTGTTTATGGCTGGAGATGAGGAGTGAGCAGGAGTGGTAATTGGTAAGGTCAGGGACGCGGAGAGCGGCGGCTGGGAAAGGCATTCTGATCTTCACAACGTGCTTTTACAGTGTCCCTTCAGCATGGTCACAAATGGGGAGGGTGGGAGAAAGATACATCTTCTTCCTAAGATGTTTGCAATCAGAACCTAGGAATAGCTGCAACCATTGTACTACCTTCCCAAATGAATCTGTGCAGGGTACGTCCACATCAGTCCTGAAAGAGCTGGTGCAGAAATTCAATAGCCTCTTTTCTTGCTGCTAAGAGACATCTGGCAGCATAACCCTTCCTAGAAATTTCTTTTTTGGGGCGCAGTACCACTCTGCTGGCAGTTTGTCCAAAGATGTTTTATTTGCAAGCAGACATACCGGGGTTTTTAGAACCAACGCACCGATGCTGCACAGTTACTTCTGCTACACCAGCAGGGGTTACTGTGAGAGGACAGAGTAAATCAGGAGGGAAGCAATGCCGGAGCCTTAAGGAGAGCTGCTCATACCTGGGGGGTTTGTGGCTTGGGGGTTTTTAATGGGCTGGTTATGTCCTGCTGGCCAGCACATACCTGCCATAGCCACTCTGGCAAGAGATTTCTTAATTGGTCTTTTTCAGTCTACCAGCCACCAAAACCAATGAAGCAAGACAGCAAATGGGAAAGAAAAAGGCGTGCATGGCGAATAAAAGCCCAGGTTATTTTCCTAGCCCGT